AATCTCATTATGAATAAACACGAGCGTATCTGGCGCGCATGTTTTGTATGGTGTACAGGTACAATTGGGAGCATGTTTTTGCCGCTTGGGGTCTTTTGAGCGACGCTAAACCCTAAATTTCAAGATGAAGCACTCATTTCCGAAACTTGCGGGAGTGAATGAAACATGCTTGTATGTGCCGCTCATGTTTTGTATAGTGTACAGGTACACTTAGAAGCATGTTTTTGCTGCTTGGGGTCTTTTGAGCGACGCTCAACCCTAAATTTCAAGATGAAGCACTCATTTCCGAAACTTGCGGTGTTGAGTATCTGGTGCGCATGTTTTGTATAGTGTACAGGTACACTTGGAAGCATGTTTTTTGCCGCTAGGGGTCCTTTGAGCGACCCTAAACCCTAAATTTCAAGATGAAGCACTCATTTCCGAAATTTGCGGTGTCGAGTGAATGAAACATGCTTGTATGTGGCGCTCATGTTTCGTATAGTGTACAGGTACACTTAGAAGCATGATTTTGCTGCTTGGGGTCTTTTGAGCGACGCTCAACCCTAAATTTCAAGATGAAGCACTCATTTCCGAAACTTGCGGGAGTGAATGAAACATGCTTGTATGTGCCGCTCATGTTTTGTATAGTGTACAGGTACACTTAGAAGCATGTTTTTGCTGCTTGCGGTCTTTTGAGCGACGCTCAACCCTAAATTTCAAGATGAAGCACTCATTTCCGAAACTTGCGGTGTTGAGTATCTGGTGCGCATGTTTTGTATAGTGTACAGGTACACTTGGAAGCATGTTTTTTGCCGCTAAGCACTCATTTCCGAAATTTGCGGTGTCGAGTGAATGAAACATGCTTGTATGTGGCGCTCATGTTTCGTATAGTGTACAGGTACACTTAGAAGCATGATTTTGCTGCTTGGGGTCTTTTGAGCGACGCTCAACCCTAAATTTCAAGATGAAGCACTCATTTCCGAAACTTGCGGCGTTGAATGAATAAGCAGGAGTGTATCTGGCGCGCATGTTTTGTATAGTGTACAGGTACACTTGGAAGCATGTTTTTGCCGCTAGGGGTCCTTTGAGCGACCCTAAACCCTAAATTTCAAGATGAAGCACTCATTTCCGAAACCTGCGGTGTTGAATGAATAAACATGAGTGTATCTGGCGCGCATGTTTTGTATGGTGTACATGCCCTTTCCAAAATTCATGATACTGAGGCCAAGAATGAAAAGTGAGTCCGGAAGCTGGGAGCCAAAAGGCCACCCAGCCACCCAGGACAAAGGGAGCCCGGGGCGGGGTGCCTGACCACACGGGATGCACGGAGTCCAGGGGCCGGAAGCCTGACTAAAGTCAAGCCACCCAGGCCAGCCAGGACATCTGATCATGGCTCATGAGACATGCATGCGTCCGGGAGCCGGGAGCCTGACCGAAGCCAGGCCACCCAGGCCACCCAGGACAAGCAAAGCAGGGCCGGGAGCCTGACCAAAGTCAGCCCACCCACGCCACCGCATGTATCCGGGAGCCGGGAGCCTGACCGAAGTCAGGCCACCCAGGCCACCCAGGACAACCGGAGTCCGGGGGCCGGGAGCCTGACCGAAGTCAGGCCACCCAGGCCACCAGGACATCAAATCTGATCGTGGCATGCATGGCTTCCAGGCAGCGTGCTTGGCCGAGCATGTCCTACAACCCTTTTCCTTTAAACCCCAAACCCTAAACCCTCTTGCATCTGGGCTCGTAACCAGAGCCAGAACGCAGGTTTCCCCTAAAACCCTACACCCTAAACCCTAGATCCTGACCTCGTCCATGTCGTCGAGGGCTGCCACCAGCGCCGCAGGCGCCACAGGCGACGCAGCATGCAGGGTTGAGGGCTTTAAGGTTACCAGGTTTCCAGGGTTCGTACATTCTTTTGTCCTAAACTTCCTAAACCGTACCCTTTCTTTCTTTCTGACCCGGCACCGCAGACCCGGCCTTGCCCACGGTCTCCAGAGCACTGCACACGCCACGCATCCGGGCAGCTGGCTCGGCACTCTGGAGGGGGATCGTTCAGGTCACGGTCGGAGACGTTGGGCATGGGCTTTTTACTACACGGCTGTCCGGGCACTGAGAAAGAAGCCCACGAAAAGAGCCTGGCTGCAAGAGTATACTTGTAGGAGCAATAAGTTGAGATGCTCGAGACGCTTGAGGTGCTTGAGACGCCTGAGACGCCTGAGACGCTTGAGGCGCTTGAGACGCTTGAGACGCTTGAGACGCCTGAGGCGCTTGAGACGCTTGAGACGCTTGAGACGCTTGAGACGCTTGAGACGCCTGAGACGCTTGAGACGCTTGAGACGCTTGAGACGCTTGAGGCGCTTGAGGCGCTTGAGACGCCTGAGACGTTTGAGGCGCTTGAGACGCTTGAGACGCTTGAGGCGCTTGAGACGCCTGAGGCGCTTGAGGCGCTTGAGACGCTTGAGACGCTTGAGACGCTTCATGCGCCTAAGACGCTTTTTGGGAAGCTTGACACGCTTGAGACGCCTGTTGAGGGACTGGGAGGGCCTGCGGTTCTTAGAGGTTTGTCGTATGTCCCCTCCCTTGTTGCTCGTAGGGCCGTAGGGTTTCAGATATTTGGGTAACCACCTTTTTTCAAGAACGTGTTTTACTAGCCCCATTGCTGGTAACGTAAGCGTGGCCCCATAACCTGCCCACAGTTCAGATGTTTCGGTAAAACCAGTGTAAAACCCTAAACCAACTTTCTTTTAAGGGGCTGTGAGGGCCTGTGGGTCGTAGAGGTTTGTCGTATGTCCCCTCCCTTGGTGCTCGCAGGGTTTCAGATACTTGGGTAACCGCCTTTTTTCGGGAACGCGTTTTCCTAGTCCCACGATGGCTCCATAGCCTGCCCAAAAACTTTGCTGGTAACGTAATCGTGGCCCCACAGTCCAGATGTTTCGCTAACCACCCCTTTTTGGGGAGAGGGTTGCTTGAGTCAATTGAGATGTATATCCCTTCGAGGGACTACACGCATTCTATATGATATTCTATGCATAGCCAGAGGCGTATTCACAACCCTTATGGAGCCACGATTACGTTACCAGCACAGGTTTTTGGGCGTGATAGGGTTTTAAGGTCTTTTTCCCTGGTGTAAATCCCTACGAGCACGAAGGGAGGGGACGTACGACAAACCTCTACGTACAGACTCCAAAACCCAGGAAAAAGTAGGTCGCTTGGGGGAACCAGGGTTTGGGGAGAAGAACGCGGTTCCCGAAAGAAGGGTTTTGCACGATGGGTTCTTACGGGTTCCCGACGGGTATTTACGGGTTTCCGACGGGTTTTTTACAGGTTCCGAATTGTAGAACCAGGTTATCGTTGTAGAAACGCGGTTTTGAAAACTTGGGCCTCCAAAACCAGGCTTCCGTATGATGACCCACTTTTTCTTAGGTTCTGGATTCTCTAGGTAGGGCCCTTATCAGCGCACTCGAGGTTTGTCGTATGTCCCCTCCCTAGGGTTTGGTGATGGCGTGAGCTATGTGGTCGCTGGTGGGAGCTATTTTTTAAACCTTTAACAGCGTTTCACAACTTTGTTTGCTCTGCGAACAGGTTCTTTGGTTTAAGTCCGGGGCGTCGGGTTGGGTTCAGAAGTAAATTGTGATGTTTGCTTATTCCCAACAGCCGAAGGGTTGGGTTTCTATCTCTAGAGGCGGGGGGGGGCCATATATCACTCCGGAGGCCGGAACGGAGCGGAACGGAACGCCAGAATGGAAGGGAACTTGGTCATCTTTGTCTTGCTGGCTGTTGGGTTGCACAGCTGGGTTAATTACTATTAATTTTATTACGATTTTTATTTTGATTGTGATTATTTGGGTTCGGCCGGTCCACACTAACAGTCACCACCAGCAGACCCACAAAAAACAGCACCCGGTACATGCCAAAAAATTGACTGGGATTCCTGCTATTCCTGGTGCTATTCCTGGTGCTATTTCTGGTGCTATTTTTTGTGCTATTCCTGGTGCTATTTCTGGTGCATTTTTTTGTGCTATTCCTGGTGCTATTTCTGGTGCTATTTTTTGTGCTATTGTTTGTGCTATTTCTGGTGCTATTTCTGGTGCTGTTTCTGGTGCTATGTGACTAACAGTCACCATCAGCAGACCCACAAAAAACAGCACCTGGTAAATGCTAAGCTGCTAAAATTGACTGGGATTCCTGGTGCTATTTCTGGTGCTATTTTTTGTGCTATTCCTGGTGCTATTTCTGGTGCTATTTTTTGTGCTATTGTTTGTGCTATTTCTGGTGCTATTTCTGCTGCTATGTGACTAGCAGTCACCACCAGCAGACCCACAAAAAGCAGCACCCGGTAAATGCTAAAATTGACTGGGATTCCTGGTGCTATTTTTGGCCTGTGTGTTATAAGGCCACAGCGTTATTTGACTGTTAGTGTGGACCGGCCGAACCCAAGTGATTATGATTATTTTTCGTATGAGCAGTGATTACGTTAGATCACTATCACAAGGTCCCGACACGACCCGGCAGATCTTTGGTCTCAATACCTCCGTTGCTCGGCAGAGGGTACCCTAAACCGTAAACCTAGGCCCTAAACCCTAAACCCTAAACCCTAAACCCTAAACCCTAAACCCTAAACCCTAAACCCTAAACCCTAAACCCTAAACCCTAAACCCTAAACCCTAAACCCTAAAAACCCCCCCTAAACCCTAAACCCTATAACCCTAAACCCTAAACCCTAACCCTAAACCCTAAACCCCTAACCCCTAACCCCTAACCCCTAACCCCCCCTAACCCCTAACCCCTAACCCCTAACCCCTAACCCCTAACCCCTAACCCCTAACCCCTAAACCCCTAAACCCCTAAACCCTAAACCCTAAACACTGGAAGCCTTGAGCCCCTCAGGTTGGCGGCAAAACCAACTCGGCGATGTTGGCATCGTCCCTGGGCGGCTCAGTCATGCATACCCTAAAAAGTCTAGAAGATACCGTTGAAGATACCTCATGGATTCCTAGACCTCACACAAGAATTTGCAGGTACAGATGGGTGACTCCGGAGAGGACCAGGAGGCAATCGACGCTCGTCGGCCTAGCCAAGCTTTGCAGGCCTTTGGGTGTAGAAGAGAGGACAGAGAGGAACCTGTCTCATGAAGACGCCTTGCTGGCCTCCAAACGTCGCAAATGTCGTGAGCACAGCGCCTTCGACTGAGGTGCTTGCCCCCGGGCAACTGTCGGAATCTGGGCTGATTTAATTGAGTCGGGAAGCTTTCGAGCGGCTGAGTTTGACATGGAATGCTCTCTGCATTGTCTGGCTTTCTGAACTGTGCAAGAGACCCTATAATACAACCAGTGAGTCATGTCCACGGCTCAAGCTTCCTTTAGGTGTGGACATTAAACGTACGAATACAATGCGCGCGCACATG